TCCATATATTGTTAATGAGGGATGTGCACACAGGTGATATGTGTATATTTCTATCTGGTTTCCTTCCAGACTTTTAACAAAGAAAAATAGGTTATTTTTGTTTTTTAAAAAAAAATAGGCTAGACTTTAGATGCAAACACTGTTAAGTCTGCAAGCCTAATGCAAAACCTTATTATTTTTCTGAGGAGTGGGGGACGGTGGAATTGGAAGAATGACTGCAACATTCCTTAAACTGAACCAAGTTGGCATTTACTTAAAGCGAGCTTTCATCGTAAGCATTCTTGGGTCAATTGTTTCCAAGCTAAGTCAGTTCCCAGCTGCGTTACCTGAAAAGGACGGTTGGCCTTACTTGGCTCACACCCACATTCACAACTTGGAAATGAGACTGGAATCCTGCGCACACTTACCGGAAGTAAATCCCATTGAAGTGAAACTGCTGAATACCCGCAGCGCGCCTCCTTCCACTTAAGTCAATAGGTTTCGTGCCCGAGAGTTCAGTCTGGCATTGGGGCATACGGACGTCGGGGAGGAGGAGGCGGCGCGCATCTTCAGGATGATGTGCAAAATAAGTTATCCCTTGGTAGGGGTACCGTTGCCCTTGTTGAGAAAGAGGGCCTTTCTTAGATTGGTGCTTTACTACACAACACTGAGCAACCACCATCCGCCCGGCAGGCTGGAATAAGAGGATCCGTGGGGCTACGAGCGCGCGGGCAGCCCCCCCACCCCACCTTCCCTGCACAAAATACACTTCAGCTCCAACCAACCCTTCAAGCCTCTTCCCGAATACCCGGTCCCACCCACCCCGCTTTCGAAGTCAAAGCTTCTTTCTCGCGTTGGCCGTCAACTTGAGGGAAAGGGCGTCCACGTCCAGCAATTCAGACCCCTCTTCTCCTGCCCCCTCTTCTCCTGCCCCCCCCCCACAAACGCGTCGCCTCAGTTTTAGGCGCCCCAGCCCGCCCCGCTTCTAAAACGCTCGCGGACGCGGCCTTCGGCGCTTCTTCATCTCCCTCTCCCCGCCGCCCGCCTCCCCCCCCCCCCCCCCC